ATGTAGAAATCAAAATTTGTGAGAAACGAAATTTGTTTTGGAGAAAAACATTTGTGGGACCTTATAGGTGAATTAGTGTATTGGTAAATTAAACCACGCGCGAAAGATGGCGCAATGCGGTTTTCAAAGCAGTTGACAACCTGCGTGTCGACAATCCTCCAGTTCTGACGTACTAAGTCATATTATGAGTTCACAACATGTGACTATGATGATGATGTATATAAGTAGATAATTCGTTAATTCGTCTAGAAAAGCAATTACGAACCCATAATATACCTATAATATCATATATTATTATATTTTTGTTGTCAAAGCATTCACTTTCTCAAAAATTTTATGTTCAAAGTTAAATTCCTGAAATTCAAAATGTGTGCTATTTAGATAACCCAATTTTAAAGTTTCAAACCCATTTTGCATGATGGCGTATAACTTTTTCCGCAGGGGGTGAAAGTGTAGGTATATTACGTATTCAAAACAGTCGTCATATTTTGCACGTCCAAATCTCTTTAAACCTCTAATAAATAACGACCCTGTGACGCTAATATAAATTAATCCGACAATATTATAGCGGTTGGGAACACCCCATGGTGTAGACATTATTTTGTAATGTCCTTAATTTAAATTAAAGAAATTGCCTAAGATTTTTCCTAGTGTAAGTGGAAATAGATAGGTGAAGCTTTTCAATTATGCATTATTTCTAGTATAGATAAAGGTATAGTAGGTGAACAATGCGGTAAATAGAAGGGATTGAGCAATAAATTAGGGTTTCAAGGAAGCGGCACCATGCAATAGTGTCTCTTTGTTAGTGCCTCAGCATTCTTAAAACCAACCACAGTTTTAAACTAATCAGCAAAATAGATTACAAATTCCATTAGCTGATTACTATCCCAAACACACATCCAAAATTCTAAAACTTCAACTAGTTTCTCGAAAAATAGGCGTAAACCATTATTGAAGTGTGATGCGTGAATAGGCTACAACCAACAAAGAAGAAATTTACGTATTTCTGTAACTTTTACCACAAAACTAAAATTGAATAAGACCATGCGACATCGCAAACACGATTGCTCTCTACACTCAAAAAAATCTTCATCATATTATCAATGAACTGCTTTCATCAATTACATTTTCATTGATTCAGTGAAATTTTCATTAATCCTAAGTACAGAAAACTGTAAGTATCATGATTTCATGAACAGCTATCATTGGAATAAAGAATAATGCTTCAGTAAGTTATGAATAGTCAGATACATGAATCTATGTTGAATAGTGCATCGGTTACATGAACTAAGTTCATTGATATTATGAAATTTAACCCTGATATTAAAGAAAATTTTTTTGATGGAGCTTCCACGGAATGTTCATAATATAAATGAATATTAATATGAATAATATGAATATGGTTCATATAGCCTTACTAGAAACTCATCCTCTTAAGAAAGAAATTCATTGATACAATGTACGGTTCATTTAAAACAAGCAAATATTCCTAGAAATAAAGCTGTAACCATTAGATCAAGATAAATCATAAATACAATGAATAGTTCATGGCATTAATGTACACAGTTCCTAAGCACATGCGCAAAGGTAGCTACAGTCGGGCAACGACATAGAAAAATAAGTTAAAATAATAAGAATGATTACATTTCTATTTTCTGGATGCATTGCTACGTACTTCGTTCTACTCAGTTTTTTCGGTCTTGTGTTGTTCGAGGTGTTAAATAGAAAGTCGGTTATACCTGTCGCCGTTTTTTTCTAAAAGGTAAGTTGTATACCTTTATTACCTCCATAATATGTATACCTATTATGTAGGTAGGACTTTGATGCTCAAAATGGGAATGCGAAAGAAATGACCTACAGATTTTAATGTCATCCGGGGAGAACGTGAAAGACAAGAGCGTTAAGAGCTCCTCAGAATTTCTAAGGAATACTGAAGTCTCTAAAAGTAAGTATACCCAATTTCAAATCAAGTTGTAATATTTTTCATCGATATATTTTTGTTAAATGGTTTTGTTTCACTAGGTAGAAAAGCACAAGATTCAATGCCGTAGCTAGTGTTTCATAGCTGAGGCAAGGAAACCAGCCAAGACATCAAATCTAATTTCCTGACGTGGCTTGTTTAAGAAACTTTGGATGTTGATAGTTCAAAAACAGCTGGAACAAACATAGACATAGTATTATATATTTATAAAAACAGGATTTAAGGAGGAATTCAAAGATAGTACAATATACAGTAAGTGTCATTTGAAATAAAAATACATAAGTACTTAGATTTTTGAATTTTCAGATTTTGGGATGCTCATATTGGTTTGTTTGATAATTCTGAAGATGATACGAAGAAATCATACAACTTCTGCATTAGAAGCTTTTTTCCTATTGCTCATATTCACCAGTACAGGGGTCACGCAAATATAAAAAATGACCCTGTGCCCCATTTAAAATCATAAGTATATTTAAGGCAATAAAAATAAAGAATAGGGTACATATTATTGAAAACGGCATTAATAAATACAATGAATGAAATTCTTAGTATTCAAGACTTTGATTCATAAATACAATGAAAGGGTTTCATCGAATTATATCTGGGCTTCATAAATATTATGCCGTCTGTTCATCAGGCCAATGAAAAAGTACATATAAACTAAGAATGATGTTCATTGTTACTATGGAAAGTTTCATTAATACAAAAATCTTGCCACATACTTCAATGTTCGTGGTTCATACACAAGATGAATCGAACTAGGAATTAAGAAATTGTTCTTCCTTTAATAACGTAGAGTTCATGTGTTCAAAGAAGCAGTTCTTTGGACCGATTTTAATGAATTGTTCATTAAATCAAAGAACAACTTCTTTTTATTTATGCTACTATTTGGTTGAGTGTACTTGCTTTTCCTTTTTGACCTTATTGGTTTCTTGAGGCTTTATGGAATACCAACGAATAACACTATCTTTTTTCACCTACTAAATAACATAAGACGGCTATAATTTTTGATGTGTAAACATCTTTTACGGCGGTATGAGGATAAATGACATCATAACCCATGCGCAGTGAGTAGTGCGCAGCTACTCCAGCGCTTGCAGCCTAAGGAGGCGTTAGATTTTCATGTCGATGATGCCGATATAGTAGATCCCTGTAAATTTCGAATAAAAAACATAATTACCGCTCACGAGATGTTTACACATCAGTGTCTCATTTTTTAAACTTTTCATCAGTATTCTGCTTTTCCTTCTATTGAGAACGGCATTTTCACAAGCAAAAACCGCTGTGCCTGGTTTGTGATTACTGTGGGAAAAGACCTTATGAAAGAATGCACATTTCCTGCAAATGATGAAATGGGAAGTGATTCGCTAAATACATATTTTTTTATTTTATCTCAGTTTTTCAAAATACTAAAAGTCAAGTAAAACAAATAACAAAAGACGAGCCGGCATCGGCAAACAAAAAATGTAACGCTGCAAAAAGCTTATGCCGACATAAATTATACCAAATCTTAAACATCGGTGTAAAAATTCGGACATACCACATGCAAATCCGGACACTTATCTGCATACTATCACAATCGGTAAACGAGTTAATAGCCTCTTGTTTAGCTGGAGGCCAAACCTTTCTTCAGGAATAAAAATGACCATAATTTTGCATTCATTATTTAAATATGCCAGATTGAATTGCCTCTGATTTTCCGAACAATTTGGTGCTATTTATCACCCAGTACTTTTTCTCAAATAAATCCCACCAACGGCTTGTCAGAGGTGAACTTATGTGGGATTTAGATTTGAAAGCGAAATTCATTATAGAATGTTTAGTTACAACAGTTATTCATTACACCGGGAGTGGAATTGTTCATTTTGTTTTACAATAAATTGTTATATAGAGACAACAAGGCTACTTGTTTGTTATACAAAATGCGGAATTTATATGGTGGTGTTTTTTTTACCCTTTTTTTTGGACCGTAAATAAAAGAGTGTTATGTCATAGGGATTTTAGCTATACCTGCCTTCTCTGGCCCCAACACCCACTCCAATTTTTCAAATTTGTTGCGTAGGCATGCATATTATGTTAAACTGGTTTTAACTCTGGGTTAACAACATGCTCTATGTTGAACACCTTTTGTGTTTCAATGTTTTGTACTACCTAAATAGGAAAGCATGTTGTTGTCACTAAACCCTTACCAACTAAGCTGATAGACCCTGTGATAGGAAAACCAAACTCATTTTTTGTACTTTAATCTTTTCTGATCTGGTATTTATTTTAAAATTTTAGTTCTGTCTAAGATTATAATTTTCAGGGAAATACATTATTTTATGTCAATAACGAGTACATTAATGTTGATGATATTATCAATTAAAAATTAATGAAAACGATTTGTCCGGCTTAATGGCTGAATATAAACTGATATTCGCTGGCAGTTGTCGTAAAACAAAGATGTATCGATTGGGCCTCTACCTCCCTAATTAAAACGGGCGTGCGAAAATATCGAGTAAAAGATTTTTATCGGCGATAAATATGATCTGTAGAGTAATAAAGAAATGATTCGGAAAGTAGCTGTAATTTAAAATTTATTGTTAGCATAAAATCGCAGGAAAGTATTGTCGTCGGGCAATATGGTTTTTATCGGTTTTATACTGCCGTTTATAGGAGCCTACATAAGGGTTTTCAATGTATTTATTTTTTACTATTACATTTTGTTTTATTTCTTTTGTCGGTTATCAGTTTGTAAACTTGAATTTTCCGTTCTCAATGTGATTCTGGAAACAAAATTAGGTGAATTTTGACATAATATTTCACTTTTATTACATTCATAACAAAATTTACAATAGGAATAAGGGGGATTAGGTCGTGTGCAATTGAAGTTTTATCATCATGTCATCATCATAGGCGATCACTCGATAATGATTATGATTATCTTCTATTATTAGGCAACATGGCCGCCGACAATAACACAAGTGAACATAAAGTGTTGTGCAAATATTGTAAGAAAGATGTTATTAATTACGTGAAGTGCTGTAAATGTGATGAATTCTTTCATCCTAGTTGCCTAGTACAATCGGCGAAGTTGAAAAATACCCAGTGTGTTCACGAAACCCAACAATCAGAGCCACCAACGAGCGAGGCTGTAGTTGAGGTTAAGGCTGATATAAACAACCCATATGTAGTGGAAAACAATCTCCTACTTCGAATTATTAAAGAAATGGAAGAAAAATATGATATTTTGATGGAAAACTGCAACCTACTGAAAGAAAAAGTCAGTGTTCTCAAGGAAAAAGTGAATGGTTTTGAAGAGAAGGAAAAACAACAAGGTGTGGCAACATCGGTACCCGGTAAGGATGCTTTTGTTGACATATCGAATGCGACCGCACCAAATGCGTCATCATCATCGTCGATCGAAAGTAGAGATGGGCAGCAGGGCCAACGAGTGCAGCAACATAAATCCGGAGTACTCTATAGTCAGAAGGTACGAAATCCGAATGAAACCAACAAAAATGTCATTGTCAAACGTCAGTATCAGGACTTACAAAACATTTCAGCTGATACTGTGAAGTCTGCCATTGCTGAAGCAATAACAAAAACAAAAATAAATGAAATTAATGAACTTAGATTAATGGATAATCATAATGAAGTAATCAAGGGTGATGATAAAGGCTGGCAACAGGTTAAGGCAAGACCCAGACGCCGTTTTATACGGGGTGGCAACTCCTCCACCGATGAAGTGCAAGCCATACCCAGCTGTGTTTCACTTCATGTAACCCGTTTGCACCCCGATGTTACACCGGCTAAACTAGAAAATATGCTAAAAGAAGCTTTTTCCGAGGTTAAATGCGAGAAACATGAATCGAAAAGGCCTGAACTATACTCCTCGATGAAAGTCACAATCAAGCAGAGCAATTTTGGAAAGGCATGGAGGAGGGAAATTTGGCCTGAAGCTGCCATTGTCTCTCGTTTTTTTGTGCAAAAAAGAATATCATCAGAAACCCAAAGGTAGATGAATCCTATTTCAAAAAATGTAATGAAACAAATAAAAAAAGCTTTAATTTACTTTACCAAAATGTCAGGGGACTACGCACCAAGACTTCAATTGTATATGGGAGCATACTTGAGGAGAACTGGGATGTTGTCTGTATGAGCGAAATATGATTGAATGGCTCGTTTCACGATAATGAAATCTGTGATAATAGATATGTGATATTTAGAAATGATAAAAATTATCTCCACTGTGATGTGAGTCGGGGTGGAGGAGTCATGTGTTGTGTGAAAGCAAAATATAGGCCGGAGCTAGTAGCTAGGAGTAGCTCTATAGATTTTCAATGGATTTGTGTCAAAATCAATGTAAATAATACTCAGATTTTAATATGTTGTATCTATGTCAGTTGTAATTGTAGTTTTAATGTTTATGAAAGTTTTATTGATTCACTGCACAGTATTGACATGCTTGGTACTGAGAATATAATGTTGGTAGGAGATTTTAATGTTTCAGATATTTGTGGAAAATCCTATGATCTAGCTAGAGGTTCACCAAAGGCTCAACTCATTAACCACTTACTAAGTGAATATGATTTATATTCCCTGAATAATAATAAAAATCATCTAGGCAACACACTGGATCTAGTTCTAACAAATGTAACAGAGGCAAATGTTGAGGAGGATTCTGAGAATGCGCTGATAAGCATTGACAACTATCATCCAGTTCTAAACATAACTTTCAAATTAAAGACAAGAAATGATGGGGTTTCTAATGATGTCTTTGATAGCTCAATTACTTATGACTTTGCTCGTGCTGACTATCCTTTGCTTCACCAACTGCTAAGTGAGCAGGATTGGACTGAACTGGCAAATGGTTCCGATGTCAATCTGTGCGTACGTATTTTTTATGAGATTTTATACAACATATTTGAGCAGTGCGTTCCGAAGAAGAAAATAGGTAATTTCAACAAACATTTTCCAAGATGGTTCACAAAACAACTTATACATAAATTAAATCAAAAGAAACACTTCGCCAAAATGTCAAAAAAACAATCTAAATTTAAAGCAAAATATAGAGAAGAATACTGTAAGCTAAGATTAGAAACAAAAAAGGTTATTAAAGCTGTTCGTTCTCAATTTATAAGAAATACTGAACAAAATATTACTCATAATGCTAATATGTTCTGGAAATTTATCAAAGAAAAGAGGCAAAATAGTAATATTAGTTATACATATCAAGGTACAGATTTTACTAATGAAAATTCTATTGCTAATGCGTTTGCCCAATTTTTTCAAGATATGTACTCAGACAGTGGCTTGCCGCCTAATGGTAATACTGATCGCCCAGTGGACTATGGTTTGGATGCTTTCTCGCTTGGCACTGTTACTGTTGATGATGTTTCAGAGGCAGTGAGAAGTCTTAAACGCAGGGCATCTGCTGGGGTAGATGGAATACCACCATATTTTTATAAGGCTTATCTGAACATTTTACAGATCCCTCTGCAAATTCTAGTTAACAAATCTATAGATACCAATTGTTTTCCTGATCATTTGAAGATTGGTCGTATAACACCGATTCACAAGAATGGAAATACACGTCTCATTGAGAATTATCGTCCTGTGACTGTTTTGCCAGCAATGTCAAAGATTTTTGAGAGAATCGTACATACTAAAATTAGTCAGCACGTGCAAAAAGTAATTATTCCTCAGCAACATGGCTTCTGTAAAAATAGGTCAACTGTCACTAATCTCAGTATTTTTTCTGAATATGTAAGCAGTCATTTGGAGATTGGATCTCAGACGGATGTTGTGTATACTGATCTAGCGAAAGCCTTTGACAAGGTTAACCATGCTGTGCTTGTCAGAAAATTTGAATCCATTGGTTTTGATTCAAATCTTATTTTATACTTGAAGTCTTACTTGTCGGACAGATGTCAGTGTGTAAAGTTTAACAATGCCATATCAAATAGGTTTGTTGCTACCTCTGGTGTCCCTCAGGGCTCTATCTTGGGACCTCTTCTGTTTGTCTTGTTTATCAATGATATATCTAAATGTATTGAATACTCACAATTTTTACTTTACGCAGATGATTTAAAAATTTACAATTCAGTTCAAAAAGAAACAGACTGTCAACTCTTACAAAAAGATTTGAATGCCGTTGTATCATACTGTCTCAACAATGACTTAAAACTAAATATTAGTAAATGTAAGTGTTTAAGCATTTTTCGGAGTAAGACTCCTGTCATAACACAATACCGAATTAATGATTCAGCGTTGGACAGGGTTCAGGAAATGTCTGGTCTGGGAATACTCTTCTCTGAAAGTTTCTCGTTTGGTGGACACATTGATGCTTTGTGTGCGGATGGGATGAGGAAGCTGGGATTCGTACTGCGCTCCTGTGCAGACTTCATAAACCCAAAGACTTACACACTACTTTTTAATGCATATGTAAGATCAAAACTGGAATATGCCAGTATGATATGGAACCCTACAACAATGTATCATAAAAACATGCTGGAGAAAATCCAAAAAAGGTTTCTGAGGTTTATGTTTTTTAGGAAGCATGGATTTTATCCTTGTTATCCTCGTCTCATCTCGTATAAATCCCAACTTGATGAATTTGGTATTGTAGAACTTAAGAGGCGTAGGGAGTTTAATGATGTATTGTTAATATTTAATCTAGTCAACGAAAACCAAAGCGTAAAGACTACTATACCTGATTTACTTCATAAGATATGTTTTAATGTACCAGATATAAGGCTAAGGCGGAGAGATAATATTTTTAAGATTTCTAACCCTAACTCTGTTTCTCTTTTGAATAGATGTTTGCATGGTGTTAATGTGTTTGTTACAGAATTTCCCGATTTTGATATTTTTGTTGATGGAAGGGAAAAACTACTAATGTGTTTTTATTAAGTAGGTTTATTTTATGTTATTTTAAATGTTTACTGTGCATAATTTTAAGGATTCAATGTTAATCTGTTTTTATGTGCAGTTTAAATAAAATTCTTTTTTATTTTTTTTATTTTATTATATTCTTATTGTCGTCACATCACTGGTGGCTTACCAAAAAAATTTTGAGGAAGGAAGGTGCTACAGATGGATGGAGAAAATTTTGCTGAAGCAACTCCGAAAAAGAATATGGAAATAATAAGAATAGATTTGGATGTAGAAAATAGAGGTCGAGAGAGAAATGGATTCAAGAGAATTCAACAAAGCGAAAAAGAAATCAATTTCCATTTATTTTAATGAAGAAAAAGACACAGATGAAGGGAAAACAAATTCCGAAGCAATTTCAATAAAGGTTGATGGGGAAAAAGATAGAAATGAAATAGAAAAAAAAATGAAGTAACATGAGCAAAGGATTCTTGATGAAGAAGAACATTCAATAAATTGAAAAATAATAATAAAACAGCTGCCAAAAACTATTACGAAGAAAATAGAGGTGGAGAGGAGAAAGCAAATTCAATGAATATTGAGGAGGAGGAACATAAGGAATAGGAGAAAAAAGTTTCTGAAGTTGATGCAATACCACAACATGAAAAAAAAAATATTCTGAAGCTACTTCAACAAAATTATTGATGGGTGAAAGAACATAAAGTGAAAAAAAATCAACAAATCTTACGAAATTAGTAAGGAAGCCGCAATGATAAGGCGAATTAGTCGTGACTTGAAAGTTGTGAATCAGAGAGATAATGAATAAGTGGTGAATTGGCCAGTAAATTGATTAGTTATAGAAGTAGTGCTAGTTTTGTGTTTTTTTTTTTGTAATTGCTTCAAAAAAAAAAAAAAACATTCAGGTTTGAAAAAGTGGCAGACGTAACGTTAATACCTATATAAATTTATAATATAAATATTATACTTTCTGAGCTAATATATTATAAGAAAATCTGCGGTAATAAACCTTTTGATGGTGGGCAAAAATGTTCCATCCGAAGGTGAATGCGAAATTTCACGAAGAATAAATCTTCCTGGATCATGTCCACTGCTCCATTGGTTTTGATTTACCATTCATGTCAGATAATTTCTGACCCTCACGTGTGTTGAGTACCTGATTGAATTCCCATTCCCTACGGCAGTTGCTACGTGTTTCTCGTAAACGAATTCAGGCTTCCAGGATTTTGGTTGGATTCTTTGTTAACTAAATTGTTCTTCCATCTTAAATAATTAATAACGCAGGGTGAACCTCATTGTAATTATTTTCTGCTTTTTTAAATTCTTTTTCTCAAAATTATATTCGCATAGAAACAATTTCCGGGTGCTCTGATTATGCATCTACGAGACACATGGTATCAGGAAGCCATTTGTGAATTAAGTTCACGACACCTGTTAGGACGGCACTGTAACAGCCACTTTTCTCGTGGTCCGCGGCGGTTCAACTTCTGCCCACACAAGAAATTCAGTGTAGGCTGATTAGTCTTAACATGTAAAGACCGCTATCTCCGGTCTTCTATCGGTTAGGTTCGTTCAACATTCAGGCATTTTTTTTTTCTAAGAAAAACCATCGGCGCCAAAATGCCTAGTACTCGGTTAGAAGGCTACAAGCAATCTAAAGGCGCAGTTATTCGTTACAACAACCTGCTAACACTTTTAGGAAATTTAATGCACTCATTAAGCTCAAACTGTGTGTTCTTGAAACACAATGGTCTTACTTTATAACTATTTGCTCTCGGGGAATGGCATGGCATCCGCTTAAATATTACTCGATTTTTTTTTCTCGCCTTTATGCATTTAATCATTGAATCGTTCAACAAAGTAAATAACTTTAGAATGTTCACTATTTTATCTTTTCTCAGGATATATAATAAAACCCATTTTGACAAACTGGTTGAAGGATATTGAATTCAAATATAATTTAATTCTACAACCCCACTACTTCGCTAAATCATTCAATTATTATCTACACTATACTCAAAATCAGTGTTTACAGGTAGGTACCTAAACAAATTGTCAACCATGTAAAATATGTCAGCAATAGGTAAACAATGTCAACACAGCGTAAACAATGTAGACAACACTCGAAAGTTGATATTTTTAGGTTATGTCTTACAAAACGACAACAAGATGGTTTGTGCGTTTGAAAACATTGGATTTTGATTAAATCGCTGCCAGGCAGGGCAATTTTTTGGCAATGTGAATATTGTTGATAATGGAGAGTGATTTTCTAACCTAGGAACAAAATATCTGAAAACGACTTTTCGTGCTTACAGTTAACTTAAAAGGATCCGTTAATTTCTTTTGATCTTGGACAATCCTATATCAACTTTATTAAATTTATCATGGGCTGATTCATTGTAGTGATAACAAACAAAATAAAATTCAATTCATTTATCGACACTCCGTCTATAAACAAAATTAAATTGTAAAGGGCTCAATCTTTTTATGGATCTAAAAGCCGTTAATGAAAGAATGTCATCCTATACCAATGGTTGAAATATATTTCACAGCCTACACTTGAAACCGAAATATTTAAATAAACCGAGTCAAACAAATCATTCATGGGGTGCATAAATGTCTCCACAATTGAATGTAATAAAGATATGTAAAAACGTGACGATTTTGTTTTTGTAATACTGCTAGGTACAGCCAACGCAATATGAGCCACTAAACATGGTACCTTATGTTAAGAAAAGTTGTCACAGTTGTATGGGAGTGGTTTTGTGTATATTCTTTGAACAGAACGCACCTAAAAAGGTTTATATTGTAAATCTTTCATTTCCAATATTAAGAATGTAGATAAAACTACATGGAAATGATTCCTATTTACCTCGAGCCATAAAGATTACCAAATAATGATACCTACTTACGTAGGATAAGAATGCTAACTTTCTTGACTAATTTTTTATACCTACTTACTTAATTTCATTTCAACAACTATATTTCAACTGAACTGCTATTCGAATATTTGCAACACTATTTCAAAGCTTTTGAAAGAAAAATGAACATAACTCTAATATATCTAATTTCACCATAAAGATTACTCTAAAGCCGATACACATAGAATCTTCAATAAGAAAAATTAGGCTCACTTAAAAGATATCTTGAATAGCAATCCTTTCAATTTTCATTTAAGTTTTCAAGCAGATCTCTATTGTAGATTGAAAATGTTTCATGAACCAGGACAAAAATTGCAACATTCCCAAAAATTTTCTAACAAAAATTTAGCATAGAGTCTCAGTTTTTTTGGATTTTCCTGAACTTATTTCTTGTACAGAAAGTAAAATTTGAAAATTTGAAAATAAAATTCAAGTTTGAGATGACATATAACGCATAAGGATAATATATTGGGATCTGAGTGCATTTTATTATCCTCCAGAGCCTCTAATTATTATTGATCAACGAGTGGAAATAGGGATTAGAAAAAGTTTCTGCAATTTACAACAAAAAGCTTCACTCTCTAAGATGCCGCTGTATTCTACTCGGTCCTAGAGGTTAAGTACCTATATCAATTAAAGTTGCAACCATAACTACAAAGTGGTATTGCCTGACATATAAGTAATTAAAGATATAAATCTTAACAATAATAACTACTATTAGATAAAACTGACTAAGACTAGACTTTACTAAGACATATAATGCTTTATCGCGAAACTTTTAATTACTAGAATAATCATACAGCACCGCCATGCTTGCAGGTTCATATATCTGTCGATTTTTTTTTTGTTATTAAGAGGGCTTTAATGACAGAGCTTCAGATTTTTTTAAATTCGTACCTATGCAAAGAGAAAAAAAAAAGCATAAGAATTAGCTCAAATTTGGCATAAACACAGCTTTGTTCGCGGGTCCGATTCCGAATCGGTTCAGGGACGATTCGCATGCGTAGGGTAAAAAGTGGCGTTCGCAGTATTACAATTCTGAACTTTTGGTGACAGTTCTATGTTCGCGGATCACATATAATTGGTTTTAATTAATTCGGAATCGGTCCTAGCGGTCACAGGATTTTGGTTAAGACTAAAAGTTCGGTTCGGCTGCTCATGCGCAATTTTGTCAGACTTGTCAGCTGACAGGTGTTTATTTGTGTTCGCATGGTTTGCGTCATTGAAAATTGATTTTTTAATTGTTTATATGCTGAAGCGAATAAAACTATATGCCATAACGCCAGTTTTACCTACGTAGCTTATAGTTTACTGAGTTTGTAGTAGGCATAAGAGTGTAGTAAGTTACTTTTTTCTATTTAATAAATAAATATTTATAGGCACAATTTTAGTGATCTCTTTTTTTCATCGAAGTAACTACTATTTTGGACCATTTGTTATCTAACGATGAGGATATGGAAAGATTATTAGCGCTTGTTAAAGTTCTTAAAAGTAATGCATATTTTGAGGAGGTGATGCCACAGTTCAACGATAAACTGATGATATTTATGCAAAATTTGTGCCAATTCTGATTTTTTTTTTCACTTCGCAGACGAATTCAAAAAAATCAACCAATCAAAGCACAGAACTGACAGATTTGAAATCTGAAGTTTTGTCATTAAGGCCCCCTGAATTTACAAATTCTAAAAATATCTGCCCTTTGCGAAAAAAACTAAAAACAAATTATTTCAATTGAACGAGCAAGGCATGGTCTAGCATCGAAATTCTAGATTTGAAATTAATTTACGCAATTCAAAACAAATTAAATATTAGTAGATATTTTCTCTGCAATGTATATTTCAATGAATGTTCGAAAAAATATTACGCGTATTGCAGTATTTATTTGCAGTGGTGTTTTTCAAATAGAACTTCAAATTGACAGTTATTTTGCAGTTCATTAATATTTTATCCACATATTATTGGTTTCAATGCACCAAATTTGATACTTCATAAAAAATAATGTTTGTCTTAAAATAAATCGCCCAGTTATCAGACACGCTCGACTTGTTGGGTTTTTGATCAATATTAAAGACTTCCAAACGGCGGCCATTTGGATATGCCACAAACTCGTGGGAAAACATGGGGGATAAGCCCAAAAATGATACAATGGATTCACCAAACGGTTGTCACTGTTGTCAGACTCATTGTTACCTTGGTATGGTGGCCAAAGACTGAGCATATTTCGGCACAGATGGCTAATCTGTCTAGGAATAACAGGGGCTATATCAACCTGCCCACCGCAGCCTTAGAGGCACTGCTGAACATGCCTCCTCTTCATCTATATGTGAAAAAAGGGGCAAGAATAGATAACTATAGAGCTCGAGTGCTAAAGTGAACCAACAGATCATATAATAACATCACTAAACTACTTTAATATTCCATATGAAGTGGTTGTAAAACAAGGCCAATCATGGAACAACGCAAAGCTACGCAACCGGCATATCATCAATGTGGTACACAGATGGTTCGAAGCTCACGGACGGAGTCGGTGTGGAAA